GCCGCATAATGCCGGAACTGAGCCACCTTTCGCCTTGAACAACACTGCAGCGGCGCCTGCCTGCCTCCCTGCTGCCGTCTGTTGGAGCCAAGGAGCATCCGCTCTGTTCAGTGGGCAGGGAGTGTCCTGTGGAGTCTTCTGTTTGCCACAGTCCCCACCCCTCCTGACTGTCTCCCGCTTGGAGGCTGTCTCACTGCCCTGCGTTACCCTGACTGTGCTGCTGTGTTTCTTAGAGAAAAGCAAAACGTCTCCATAGGAAGTGGGAAGCTGGAAAGCAGCAGGAAACTCTCTGGGCTGCGACCCACTGTCCCTTGCTCTTCCCTGCCCGGCTTCTGGCCTCTGTGTGTCCTTGAGGTTGGAGGGCCCAGGAGGGCCCAGGTAACAGCCACTTCTTGTCTGGGAAAGCATCTGAGAACAACCCAGAGAAATTATTCAGTTAACCCTCTGGCTCCAACTAGAGCCAGAGAGCCAGAGAATCATTTCCCCCAATTTCAAACACGGATTCTGAGGCCCAGAGCTGGGTAAGGTCACACAGCTTAAAATTCAAGAGCTGGACAGGTTGCTGTTCTCTGGCTGGTGACCTTCCAGATGCAGACTTTTCTTCTTCCTCCTTCCCTTGCTCATTTTCCTCCCCTTTCTCCCTCCTCTCACCTTTCTCCACCACATGAATATTCATGGAGCACAGTAGTGGCTACCAATAGCTGTGCGGCAAGCTACACCAAGCTTTAGCGGCTTAAAACAAGAACCTTGGGTTGACTTGTGGTCTGCAGGCCCGGGGCTCCCATGTGAGACGGTCCCTGTCCCTGTGGCCTTGCTGGGCTTCAGCTGGACGGCTGGTCACGCCGGACGGCCGAGATGGCGTCCTCGCCTGTCCACCACTGGCGCTGTCACTGGCCTCTGCTCTCCAGGCCTCTCCTACCACCTGCCCCTCCAGCAGAATCACCTAGACGTCTTCACATGGCTGTTGTCTCCCAAGAGGGAGAGTCAGAGCTGCAGATTCTCAGGGTGGGATGGGAGGAAGGCGGGAGTGAGGCCCGCCCAGGGTACGAGGAGAGACGGAGCGACGGCTGGTTGCGGGTGTGGGATGCGCTTTGCCAGTAAAGGGACCAGCAGGTGCAAAGGTCCTGAGGTGAGGCGTGCTTGGGGACGAGCAAGCGTAGATGATGAGGTCACGCAGGGCGTGGGTGCTGAGACCAGGTGTAGGACAGTAGACTCGCCTGTGGGTGCTTCCTGAGGAGGTGGAGGGTGGAGGAGGAGCGAAAGAAAACGAAGACCCATGTAACATAGCTCATGTAAATAAAAATGACCATTTTGGAGCACCGGTTCGGTGGTTTTTAGTATATTCGGTCATGAGCACCGCCCTGGTGTCGCTCCAGCACCCACAGAGACACCCTGTGGTGGCCCGTGCAGTTTCCTCACCCGCTGGCCCTTAGGCCCTCGGGGGGACAATGAGCAATGCCCCTTTCGAGTGGACGGGCGCCCGAGAGGACGCGGGCGGCCCAGCGTGTCTCGCCGTCCTCGGGACTGGCTGCGGGGAGCAGGGAGCAGGACCTCGCTCCTGGTCGTTTGCGAGCAGCCTTCCTCCTGTGAACACACGGCATCTTGTCCACTCATCGCTGGATGGACACAGGGTCACCTCCCTTTGGGGGTGATCATGACCAGCACACACGTTTTGGGCAGAACATGTTTTCCATCTTGCGGCGATCCCGCTGGGGCTCTGTCCCTGTCGGCCTCGCAGGGCCACCAGGCTGGTGTCCAGAGCAGCTGCCCGGCTCTCGTTCCGCTGCAGGCGTGGAGCTCCAGCGGCCCCGCGTCCCGTGACAGTTGTGTGCGGTTTCGAGCCAAAGGGGCGTCCGTTCATTTCAAAAGACTCTCAGGAGGCGCGGGAGGGAGCAGCCTCCTGCACAGTCCGGCAGAAGAGGGCTGCACCCGCCCGGGGGGGCGGGGGGGAAGGGACGCACGACTGGGGGTGCATTCTGCAGGCTGAACAGAGCCTCTGCTTCCATATGGAGTGGGGCAGAAAGGGGGTGAGAAAAAGAAGAGTCGGGGTGCTCCCAGGTGTTGGAGCTGAGCAGCTGGACCAGCGAGCCTCCATTTGTTGAGCCGAAGATCCCTGGGTGGGCAGGGGCCAGCTGCTTTTGGATTGTGGCACCCCCAGCTTGGACGGGCACCCTGGAAAAGGGAGGTGTGAGAGAAGAAAGTGAACGCCACGATTCAGCTGTGTTTAAAAATACCCCTGCTCGGACGCCGCCTGAAGTGAGCTGGCCCTGGCTCCCGGGGCGGGGCTGGCGGAGGCCCGCGGGCGGGAAGGACCAGGCCCTGGCTGGTCAGAGAAGCCTGCTGCCTGTTGCCTGTGGGAGGCTTGTTCTGAGGCTGCTTGGGGGGTCGTCTGGAGAGCAAACTGTGCTGTGAATGATTTGCGGCAAGATGGGACAAGCGATCCCTGCCCCTCCCGTTTGGAAGTGCCAAGGGTTCATTCCTCCGGGGCTGGCCAGACCAGCAAATGCCTTCCCTGCCCCCTTCTGCTTCGGGCATCACCCAGGGAGCAGGGTGGGGCAGAGACCATCACTGACAGGCCGGAAACAGGGCACACATGCATTCCCTCCCCAAAAGGCACCTTGTGGTGACAAGCGTCAGCTCGAGAATCACAGATTTTAGAGTCAAATTCCAGCTTTGTTCTATTAGCTGTGTGACCTGAGGCAAGTGACTGCAGCTCTCTGGTCCTCTGTTTCCCATTTCCTACAAAGGGCGACATTTTGCTACTCACCATGGAGAATGCTTAAGAGACTCAAACGAGACACCCAGCCAGAGGGATGCGCCGCTGTGTTTATTACCTAGTGAGAAGTGCCTGAAGCGACCCCTTACTGGGCACCTGCGATGCGCCAGCGCCCTGGGCGTGCATCAGACCCTCATTGCCCCAGACGCTCATCGCCCCGTAAACTAAACGGCCCTGACAGGTGGGCGGGGCAGTTCCCTTTTGGGTGAGCCCACGGAATGCAGCCCAGAGGCAGTTGGGTCAAGGTCACAAAACCTGCAAAGGACATGGTGGGACTTGAACCCTGGTCGGGCAGGGCCCTTTCTGAGCAGGACAGGTCACGACACGCTTCTCAGAGGAGAGCTGCAGCACAGGCCCCCCCACCCCCACCCCCACACACGGTGGGGG